TTATGGCCTAAGGAGTGGGTCGACATGAGGTTCAACCCGAGAGGGTGAGCCTTAGTCCCATATCCTAACACTCAGCTCGAGAGAGTGACTGGGGTAAGGCGTAGCCTGGCATTCATGTGGCAAATGGGTTTCCGAGTGGAACCCATTTGAAACGGAGTAAGCTGCCGTAGAGGGAACTTATTTCCATCTAAAGCTTAGCCTAGTCACTATTATCTTACAAATTTCCTATCAAAAGCATGTACCCAATGATTTATACCAATATATATTGCGGTCACAACCCAAGAATCCCCTTTCATTCATATATTTCGTTGTTATTTTTATTGTTTTTGCTATATTTGTGACAAAACTCCCATTTGATATTTGACACTTTTGTGTCACCCCCTTTAATTTACAATGTTTTTAGTCGTTAATGTCTTCAGCTATGACTAGTTAGAATTAATTTTATTTTTCTATTAATTCTCAAAACCACTCCCTTAGCACACGACCCTAACCCTTGGTTGGGTTACTATATTATCAACGATCATAGACACTCGTACCGTAGGTTAGTGTCGTAGAGTAGTAAAATCTTTGTCCTTATTAGTTGTAGCCTACTTACCTAATTTTCAATTTGGTTTTGAGTATTTGTGTGTTTTAACAGCCATGTGAGTGTGAACAGTGAAAATAGCTGCCAAGCAGGCTATCCAGCGGGTTATGCTTTTCATCGAGACTATATTGATGACGTTAATAGTGTATACAACCCCGCCCAAGTGGATGAGATGGGTGCAATTTGCATTCCACAAGCAGACGGAAGTGCGACATTTGAATTTACTAGCACAATGCTCCATCTCATTCATTCAAGAGGTTTATATGGAGGGTGAGAGCACGAAGATTCGTATGAGCATATACAAAGCTTTGTAGAAGTGTGCACTCTTTTGTCATTCAAGAATCTGTCGCGAGAATGCATAAGGCTGCACTTATTTCCATTATCATTAACCGAGGAAGCCACTAAGTGGTTGGTCGAGCTTCCAAAGAACTCCATCAAGTCATGGGAGGAGTTTGTTACGGCTTTTCATGAAAGATTCTTCCCTCCATCAAAGGTGATGAAACTGAGAGACAACATTCAAAATTTTAATCAAAAGAATGGCGAACCAATTCACGAATCATGGACACGATTTAAGACATTTTTGTGAGGATATCCAATGCATGGACTGTCGAGTGAGTTACTGCTCCAATATTTTTACCGTAGTCTGGATTCGGTGAATAAAGGGATAGCTGATCAGTTGGTACAAGGAAAAATAATGTTACAATCCTTTGAAGTAGCCTCATTTCTCCTAGATGGCATGACTAGAGTAAATCAAGCATGGTACACAAAAGATGACCATGTTTCCCCACTGTGCTTCAGATTAACACAGGAACAACTTTTTAAAGAAAAAGAGAGGGACAAAAAACATAAAAAAGATGTTGTCTCAAATGGACGTGATACATGAGCACATGAAGGGGACGTATGGAGTGTTTCAAGTTGTGGAGGATTCTCCTTCTGGGTACTTAAGACTGAGGGAGAATCAAGGTTGGAACTACACAAGATATGAGGAGGGTTTCCACCCACGCTATCAATAGCAGGGCGGAAATCAAGGTTGGAACCATTATAAGAGTGAAGAACCAAGGAGATATTGCCACAATTGGGCTGAGCAAGATGACCATGAGGAAAACCATACTCAAATGAGTGAAATAGTCAAAAGGGAGCGCAAGTAGTCCTCGGGTAAATGATCTGTTGTCACACATACTTGATAAAGTTGAGGGCTTTGATGATTTGCTAAAAGGAATGAGAGATGACTTTTCATCACTGAACAGTAAAGTGAATTCTCATGCTGATGCCATTAAAACACTAGAAGGTCAATTGAGTCTATTATCAACTCAATTGACATCCAGGACACTGATGGAAGATAATGAAAGAGGGGTGTCTGTGGTTACCCATAGTGGAAAGATGGAAAAAGGGAATGTGATGGAGGATGACGACCCTCGAACGCAGGACGAGAGCTAGGGTGTAGAGGAATGAGAATTGCCTAGTCCACAAAACCTTGCCAAAGAACCATAAGAGGATATAGAGCAACACAGTCAAGTTCCAAAAGTCATGAACCCTTTACCCAAAATACCTCTACCATTTCCTCAACGTTTGAAAAAGAAGAATGAAGATGAGTTTTTTCGTCAGTATTCAAGAACTTATCAATTAACCTTTGTCTAGTCGAAGCGTTGTTAGAAATGCCGGGATACGCCAAATTCATGAAAGAGATGGTTACAAGGAAAATGAGCTTGAAGTATGAAACGATCGAGGTGACCCATAGTTGCAGCGCAATTATGACAAATAAGTCAATCACTAAGAGAGAAGATCCTGGGGCATTCACAATACCGTGCACAATTCACATGCTCCAACTCGCTAAAGCTTTATGCGATTTAGGAGAAAGCATTAACTTGATGCCCTATGCAATATATAAGCAACTTGGTTTGGGTGAACCAAAGGCAACCACAATGAGATTCCTTATGGTTGATCGATCAATCAAGCACCCCATAAGGATACTATATGACATATTGGTAAAAGTAGATCGGTTCATCTTTCTGGTCGATTTTGTGATTCTGGACTGCGAGATCGATGCTGAAATCCCCATTATTTTGGGAAGGCCATTCTTAGATACCGGGAGAGCATTGGTGGATGTTGAAAGCTGGAAATTGAATTTTCGTATGAATGATGATGAGGTGACCTTCAATATCTGTAAATTCATGAAGCAACCAAGTAATATCCATGTGGTGTCCACAAAGGATCCTATAGATGAGGCAGTGGCAAGTGTGAGCCATTTAATGCGCAAGAATGAACCCCTTGAATCTGTACTTGCCAACTATGATGAATCTGAAGTTCAAGGATATGAGGAAGTGGTAGGTGCCTTATCAGGGTTAGAAGTATATTCAAGGAATCCAATCAAGTTGGATATTAACCTGAAAAATAGGAAAAGTCCTCTTGCAAAGCCATCAACAGACGAACCACCCAGTCTGGAGTTAAAAGCCCTACCCTATCATCTAAAGTATGCCTTCCTAGGAGCCAATAGTACTTTACCAGTGATTATCGCAGCTAATTTGCTTGAAGGGCAGGTAAAATTGCTCATTGAAGTATTGCAGAAGCATATAAAAGCTATTGGATGGACAATAGCCAATATAGTAGGAATTCCTCCTGGCATATGTACTCACAAGATTTGGCTTGACAGTGAATGTAAACCTAGTGTGGAGCATCAGCAAAGATTGAACCCTCCAATGCAATAGGTGGTGAAAAAGGAGATCATCAAGTGGCTAGATGCGGGAGTGATCTACCCTATTGCAGACAGTAAGTGAGTAAGTCCGGTGTAATGCGTACTGAAAAAATGAGGTATAACCGTAGTCCCAAATGCAAATGGAGAACTTGTGCTGACAAGACTAGTGACTGGGTGGAGAGTATGCATGGATTATCGAAAGTTTAAATCATGCACCGAAAACGACCACTTCCCAATGCCCTTTATGGATGAGATGTTTGATTGGTTATCAGAACGGGGGTGGTATTGCTTGTTAGATGGATATTACGGTTACAATCAAATCTCTATTTCACCGGAGGACCAAGAGAAAACCAATTTTACCTGCCCTTATGGAACATTTGAATTCAAAAGGATGCCATTCGGGTTGTGTACGGCCCCAATAATATTCCAGCATTGCATGTTGTCTAATTTTGCAGATATGGTCGAAGACTCTATGGAGGTATTCATGGACGACTTCTCAGTCGTAAGGGACACATTTGAGGAATGCTTAACACACTTAGGACAGGTACTCCAAAGTGCGTGGATACAAATCTTGTTCTCAATTGAGAAAAATGTCACTTTATGATGAAGGAAGGTATCGTTCTTGGGCATAAGCTGTTGCAAAAGAGGCTGGAGGTTGACAAGGCAAAATTTGAGGTCATTGAGAAATTACCCCCGCCAATTTCAGTGAAGGGTGTTCGTAGCTTCTTGGGTCATGCAGGTTTCTACAGAAGGTTCATTAAAGACTTCTCAAAGATTGCACACCAACTGTGCAAACTCCTAGAGAAGGAAGTGAAGTTCTATTTTGATGATGCTTGTATGGCCACATTTAAGTGTTTGAAAGAAAAATTAGTATCCACCCCAATTATCGTCAGTCCTGATTGGTCCGAATCTTTCAAAGTAATATGTGATGCCAGTGGTATGGCGTTGGGAGTAGTGTTAGGGCAAAAGTGCAACAAACTATTTCACCCAATTTATTACGCAAGCAAAACTCTGAATAGTGCCTAGCGAAATTATATAGTCACTGAACAAGAGTTGCTCGCAGTGGTCTATGCATTTGAAATGTTTCGGGCATACCTTCTAGGCACCAAGGTAATAGTACACACTGATAATGCTGCACTCCGCTACTTAGTGGCGAAGAAAGATGCAAAACCTAGATTGATAAGGTGGGTGCTACTATTACAAGAGTTCGATTTTGAGGTTAGAGATCGAAAAGGCTATGAAAATCAAGTGGCCGACCACTTGTCGAGGTTGGAAGAAAGGGATGATGTCGGGCGTGAGGTCGACATAGATGACTCATTCCTCGACGAACAGGTGTTTGCTATATCTCTCAAACCTACGCCGTGGTATGCAGATTTTGCAAATTACATTGTGAGTGGATTGAAACCGGATGAGCTGACCTTTTACCAACAAAAGAAATTCTTGTTCGACGTTAAAAAGTACTTTTGGGATGAACCATACTTGTTTCGAGAATGTGCTGACCATGTTATTAGGAGGTGTGTTCCAGAAGAAGAAGCAGTAGATATTCTCCATGCTTGCCATGCATCTCCAATAGGAGGTCACCATAGTGGTATTCGCACTGCCGCTAAAGTCCTCCAAAGTGGTTATTACTGGCCATCCTTACACAAAAAAGAACATAAATTTGCAAAGAAATGTTCTCAATGTCAGCAGCAAGGAAGTGTGTCTAGAAGGCATGAGTTGCCTCTCACTCCTATTTTGGAAGTCTAGTTATTCAATGTATGGGGGATTGATTTCATGGGCCCATTTATGAGCTCATTTGGAAATAAATACATCTTGGTGGCTGTAGATTATGTCTCCAAATGGGTAGAGGCCATCGCACTTCCAAACAACGAAGGGAGAAGTGTTGCCCAATTTCTGAAACACTATATCTTCGCAAGATTTGGCAATCCTAGGGCAATCATTAGCGATGGGGGGTCTCACTTTTGCAATAGGTGGTTTTCAGTGGCAATGAGTAAATATGGGGTAAAACACAAAGTAGCAACCCCATATCATCCCCAAACAAGTGGCCAAGTCGAGGTGTCAAATCGGGAAATAAAAAGCATCTTGGCAAAGACAGTAAATGCCAACAAGATTGACTGGTCTAGGAAACTCGATGATGCACTATGGGCATACCACACTACTAATAAAACACCTATCGGTATGTCTCCATATCAGTTGGTTTACGGTAAGGCTTGTCATTTGCCCATCGAGCTGGAACACAAAGCGTTGTGGGTATTGAAGGCCTTAAATTTGGACTGGTCAAAAACTTCAAGGGAGAGGGTAGAACAGTTGAACGAACTGGATGAATTTCGACTCAGATCGTATGAAAGTTCAGCCATCTACAAAGAGAGGATGAAGAAATGGCATGATGCTCGAATACTCAAGCAGGACTTCAAGGTAGGATATTGGATTTTTTATACAACTCTCGACTTAGACTCTTTCCCAAAAAGCTCAAATCCAAATGGTCTGGACCTTTTAGAGTAACGCGAGTGTTCACCAATGGTGCCAAAGAAGTTCAAGATCAGGAAGGACCCCCATTCAAAGTGAACGGTCAACGTCTGAAATTATATTTTGGGGATTGTCAAGAGATTTCTTTGGTTGAAGTGATATATTTAGAAGACGCTTGAAGGCGCTGCTGCGTTGTGCCACGATGTTAACTAAGGCAATGTTTGGGAGGTAACCCAAAACTATTTATTGCTTTCTTTTGTTTTGATAAAAATAATGGTGTGTTGATTGTGCAGATGGAAGTATGGGAAGTGAACAAAAAATGCAGATTGGCGAGTAATAGATCCAGTTGGCGAGTCGCCAGAGGGGTCGGCAAATCCGATCTTATTCGCTGTTTGACTCTAGACATTGTCAATATTAGAGTCTGTAAAACTGGGCGAGTTATGGAAATTATTGGCGAATCGCCGACAATGTCGGCGATCACAATGGAAATCATTGTTAGGACCCCCCGTAAACCAGAGGTTTTGTAAATTTTGGTGGAGAAACAAAACAGTCGGCGTGTCGCCGAGTGAGTAGGCGAACTTGACTAATGTCGCCGAGTGGACGAAAACTGGACGGTTTTTGCAAGCCAAAGGTTTAAAAATTCCAACTTCATTCACTTTTTCTCATTTTTTATCTGTTCACAACCCACACCTGCACTCTAATTTTATATTTCTTGCACTTCTAGAGTATTTTGGTTCATTAATTTGTGGGCGGATTTGGATTGCATTGTCGCCTAGCTTCTCGGTCGTATTTCAATAAGTAGAAATGGTTATTTTCTTACTACCCGTAATTATTTTGTCAACATTGCACTCATTTGCACATTCTTTGATATTGTTAAGATTTGCTGAACCTTCCAGAGTGGATAGAATTGGTTAAGTGTTGATTGTTATGCAATAACCTGGCTTAGATGGTGAAATTTTGTTCTCAGATCTATCTAGTAGAATTAATGTGTGATGGGTGGTATTCATATGTTTTGGGCCTTCGTTAAAATTGTGCTGCTTGTGCTTTAATTGTGTTTTCGGGGGTTGCGGGGCCGATTTCAAAAAGATGGGTCAAAATTATGCATGATAGGTGATTCGACGAGCTGTTACGAGCTCGCCGAACCACTCCGCGTTCGCCTAAGTACCCTATCTCACCTTTACTATTATGCTTTATTTGTTGTGGTTGTTGTAGCTTTCGGCGAAGAAGTATAGGATCGCCAAGTGCATTCGACGTCTCGCTGAATTACTCTTTAATCGCCCTTTGTTTGCACTTCTAACTCTTTATGCATTGTGACCTTCAGCGGAATGTCTATAGCTCGCCAAATGTATTCGGTGGTACGCCGAATGGATTATATAATCTTTCTGCAGATGAAAGTCTTTGCTTTGGTTGTTCTAACATTATCTCAAAGACTTTGCAGACATGGCCAGACCAAAAGTTGTAGGAAGGAACATGCTAGCCAGACACATAAGAGCGCAACCATTCAGAAGAACTGACAGGAGCAAGAGCAAGAGCAAGGAAGAAAGTTCCAGTATGAGGATTCACACTGACCCTGTTATCCCTTCATTGACTCGAGGGTTCGTCAATGCGATACATGCCTTCAAAGCAGCGCATGATTTGAATAACATGGTTGAGGCAAACATCGCTACAGAAGCTGAAGTAGAGAGAAGAGAAAACAAGAACCTGAAGCAGACTAACAACACTTTGGGCACTGATGCCTAGACACACTGCGTAGACAAGAGTTTTCCTTATCTCCCTCTCTATATATCTTTATCTTACCTTTCAGATTCTATGCTAATTGTATTTGAGGACAAATGTTTTTATTTGTGGTGGGGTGAGGCTCACCTTTTGTGTGCTATTTGTGATTCGTGTTTTGTATATATTTGGGTTACTTTGCTTTAAAATTGTGTTTTATTGGATATTCGTGGATGTTTGAGCTTATGACTCCTTTTTATTTTAAATTGCAAAAAATTTTTGACACCCTTCAAAAAAAAATTCATTTTTTGAAAATTTTCGCCACCTCTTGTGTTGAAAGTGGTTCTTTTTGTACAAATTCAAGCCTCGGTTCTAATCAATACCGATGACTTGAATAGTGCTCTCAATCGAACGGACATGAATGTGCGGCTTCGACGAGGTCAAATGAAGTTGCATAAACAATATGTGAACTCTTTGTATCTCATTGTGATTAGCCATTTATCGAATTATTCTCTTGTAATAACCGTTGCACACTAACGAAAGTGTGTAGTCTTGTTTGACTTAAGTTTCGATGCCTTGTGTGATGAGCTTACTTTGAACCTTGCATGAATAAACCTCGAATTTGCCACGGTAGTTTGATTGATTTAGTAAGGTGTGCTCTTGAAATGATCTTAGGCAACTTTTGAAGAGTGTGAGCCAAATTTGACATATACCTGTTTTGTGGCCTACCCGTGAGCATGTGAAACTCTCTTGAACACCCTTTGAGCCTTATCTTTCTTTGGAAGAACCTTGATGAACCCTAGACCTTAATTGACCCACTACCTATAATCCTCT